TGTCGACCTTCCTTCAATTTTCTTCTACTTTCCCTCTCCCCCACTGCAGGTTGTACAGGCCATTTCCAACATATTGTCTTGTGTATATCACTATTGCATTGGTTTCCTCCCTTGCCCTGTACTTTGTCTCACCATTCTGTTGTTCCCCTTCCTTTCCCTAATTCAAATAAACATATCTACACCAGGGTACCAAAATCAAAAACAGTATCAATAGAGGATATACCATAGGGGGCGAAAACATAAAAAAGAAACCAAAAAATCATATAGTACATTAAAAACAGCAACAACAAAGAAAAACCTTTTGTATCAATGTCTTGGAGTTCATTTCACTTAGCATCATCGTATATGGTCATATGTACATAGATATGGAGCTAAGTGGTGACATTTTTCAAAGAATCAGGTTTATGTCTCATATTACCCTATGTGTTTTTACCTTTATCAAGTTAATATATGACTCTTTTGTTTTGTATTTTTGTTACTTTGAGACAATCTCATTATGTAGCTCAATCAGGCATTGAAATTGTCATATTTATTCAACCTCTGTTTGCAGATGTGCCCTACCACATCTGACCCAGATGACTCTTGACATCATGTTATCTATAATTTTACTTAAATTACATCTTAGCAAAAATCACTAAAATATCATTAGAGTGAATATATAGAGAACACTAGAATGATTGATGCTATTTGCCCATATAGAACTAGCATAATAGGATTGTGGTAGAATGCTCTAAGATGAAATATGCCAGCATCAAGCAAAATTTTCATACAGAATTAATTTTTAAAATCTTTCTTTAAAATTTGTTTCTGTACTCATAACTCAAAACACAATGACGTACCCATATTTGGAAAATGGCAAATTATCCTATGGTTATTGACAATAACTTCGTTGTTAATACAATCAGTGAGCATTGTCTGAAAACAAAAGAAAAGCCAGATCCAAATTTCAAATAATATATTCATGAGTAAGCATTATTATTGACTAAAATATGATTATATATGCTAGGTAAAAATATATTAATTACAATATTAACTAGCAAACTCTATAAGAAATGGACATAATTGCTGTTAGGTTAGTGTAGTTCAGGGTAGTTTTTCCCTCCCCACTCTTTCCAAATCAAATCTTATTTCTCTTTCCTTCTTTCTTTCTTTCTTTCTTTCTTTCTTTCTTTCTTTCTTTCTTTCTTTCTTTCTTCCTTTCTTTCTTTCTTTCTTCCTTCCTTCCTTCCTTCCTTCCTTCCTTCCTTCCTTCCTTCCTTCCTTCCTTCCTTCCTTTTTGTCTGTAGTGGCGCTTGAACTCTGGGCTTAGGCACTGTCCCGGATTTTCAGCTCAAGGCGACCACTCTAACACTTGGGCCACAGCACCATTTCTAATTTTCTGGCCTTAATTGGAGATATGAGTATCACAGACTTTTTTTTTCCTATCTGGGCTGGCTTTGAACAGTGATCCTCAGATATTAGCCTCCTGGGTAGCTAGGATTACAACCATGAACCACCAGTGGCAGCTTCAAATCTTCCTTCTTTAGGGTCAATTTACATTTCACAGCATAAGGATGGATTTTCCCTTTTCAGCTTTACTATTGTTCTTTGAGCTACACAGCAATGATCCCATCTCATCCTCAGTATAAATCTCTCAGTGAACAAACACCACCATTTTATCTCAACATCAACGACAAATTATATATCTGCTTGGCTCTTAAATAAATTGTCTCTCGGAGAGTTCCGGGAAGATGATGAAGGAAAAGCTGGAGGCTAAACAAGCACTCGCACAGAAAGCAGTTTTAGTGTTCCAGTGAACAGACCTAAGCCAGAGAATCACACCAAGTGTGTCATTACAGTACAGAGAGTTAGGCCAGAGAGGGAAAATCCAGGCAAGGAGACAGATCTGAGCACTTGCCAGCAGCCATGGCTGCAGGTGTGGCAGCGGCAGCCATAACCGCTATACCTGCAACAAAGAGAGTCCAGGACAAAGGCGCCAGACACAGCAGGTGAGTGGATTCTACTCAACACCAGCAAGAACTGACAATGAGCAGACATCTTCATTCTGCAGATCACAGACCAGAGATGACCCAGGAACCAAGACTCTGGCATGAGTAGAAGCCTGACATACTCACTTCTTCACAGGGAGCAGAGGAGGGAAGGCCACCCCTCCCCACCCCACTACCAGAGATCTACATCTTTGATACTGACAAAGGCCTGGCTGAGCAGCTAGCTTCAACTCAGGCCTTGGAAGAAAATAAAAGTCATTTAGCAGGTCACAGGAACCTAACATGACCTGCCAGACTCAGCTCCCCCTAGGGAAAAGTCACCCAGCTAGGCCGCCAGCCCCAGGAGGGGTTTTTTTCACTGGGTGCTGCCCCTCCGCACAGCAGCCTTGACAATCAATTGAAATTCAGTAAATATAAACAGTGAGAAAGGCTCCAGGCTAGGTTCTGTGAGTTTCTCAGAAGCTAGCTCCTCGAGGGGAAAAACTGCTGTTTGCTGAAAGGTCTCAACTCTACCCAGAACCTAGCCTCATCACAGCATCTCCAAACTAGAGGAAACAGCCATCTCCCTATTTTGCGATACTCAAAGCAGATCTCCTTCCCATTGAACTAGCTTGGGAGGAGGATCACAAAATCCTGGGTAAAGCAGAGCATTTGTCTGCCTGCTAAAACAAACTGACTTAAGAAACCATCCAAGCTACAGGAAAATCAAACACCACGAGCAGACCAGAGACTCCAACAAGAGATTGGTTACGGACACAAGACAGATACAGGACCTTCCCATCCCCCTAAAAAAAATCAAAGAACTCTTTTTTTGTACCTTTTTTAAATTTTTTTTCCAAAACTTTTTATAATTTTTAATTTTTTAACGATAATATTTTTTGTTTTCTATTAACTTTTTTATTCCTATTATAATTTTTATTTTAGGGGTATATGTGTGTATCCTTTTTTTTTCTTTTTTTCTTTCAATTTTTTTTCTTTTGCTCTACTGACCATTTGATTCTTTTTCTCTTTCCTTCTCATTCTTTTCACTTTTTTTCTCTTTAATTCTTCATTGCGTGACTTAATTGTTGTTCTGCTCATCCTCATATATACCCGTAGTTGATTATTAGACCTTAGCTCCCATGGTGTACACACTTAATCCAGACATTTATTACTCAATTTAAAACCTCTTAGACTTAAATTTCTTAATAGCAGTACTACCTCTTTATACCTATATAATATTTTAAACATTTTTATTTTTAAGTTTTTCACATCTCCTTTCAATCCCTCTCCTTTTCTTATTCTATCCATGTTCTTATCTGAAAATTATGTTTTCAAATTTGCATAGTTTTTAAGTATTTCATTTTTTAATTTTTAATTTTGTTTTACTATTTTTTCTTCTCTTTTTTATTTCTCTTTCTTCTTTTTCTCTCTCTCTCTACTATCATTCTATCCAACGTATTTCCCTCTTTGAGATTAGGATTTAGTTAACTCTCCCAATGCCTTTCCACATCCCACTATGCCTATTTTTACTCACATCTCTCCCTAAACCTAATAATTTCTGTTTGCCAAATTCTTCTTTGCAGTTCATAGCCCATTAATACATAGTTGTTTGATGTTGAACTATATTGTATCTGCAGACTTTTGACTATGCAACTACAAACTTTGGTTAATGCTTGCCTTAAGATAGTGTTCTAGCACAAAACTGGTGTTACTTTCATCCCAAATGGGCAGAGCAACCCGGAAAAACACAAGAAAAATTTCAAGTCCATGTAGTTCAACTCCCACTCATGATAATCAGGGGACAGAAAAGATAATGAATAATCCAGAGGAGAGTTCCCAAAAGCTCTATAAACACTAGTGGTAAACATGGTAAATGAAAAGATTGAAAACCTGCAAAGGACTCTGTATGAGCATGATAGGGAGAGAGAGGACGCAAACCAAAGGTTAATACAGGAATATCATGATTGTGAGGAAGCTGCTCACAGATTGATAGAGGAATTGTGTGAGCAGCTTGAGAACACTCAAAGAGAAATAAAGTAATGGTGTAAGCAGGCTGAGATCAGTCAAAGAGAAAGTCAGGAATGGCATGAGCAGGCTGAGAACACTGAAAGAAAACTAAAGGAAATGCGTAGACATGAAGAAGCTAATCAAAGAGTAATACAGGAATTGAGAGAGCAGGATGAGAACACAGAAAGATCACTAAAGGCATTCATGGACTCCATTAACAAAGAGCTGAAGGAAGTCAGGGAGAACACAAAAGGAATGCTGAATGGAACCCAACAGGAGGATTGGGAGTCCAAGGAAACCATAACCAATCAACTAAGTGATTTGAGAATAAACACTGAACACCAAATTAAGGGAGTAAAGAAGTTCATACAAGATCTAAAACAAAGCTCCAACAAAGAATTTGAAGCCAACAAAGCCGATCAACTAGAAGGAAAAGAAATCAAAAACAAAGTAGAAAGTCTTGAGAGCCGGTTAGACCATGCAGAAGATCAAATTTCTGGGATTGAAGATAGCCTAGATAATATAGAGGAAGAACATGCAACCATCCAAAACAAATCCAAGAAATATGATAGATCTATTCAACACTTTTAAGACACCTTCAGAAGGCCTAATCTAAGGATAATGGGTGTAGAGGAGCACCTAGAAACAGAAGTTAATGATTTAGGAAATTTGTTTAACAAGATCCTCATTATCTTGCCCATGTAATTGTAACCACTCTGTACAGTATTTTCACAATTAAAATAAAAGAACAACAAAGAAAAAGAAATTGTCTCTCATTTGGGGGCAGTCTGCCGGACCTTTGATACCATATCATTTTTAATAGTTTTTTTTATCTCCAGAGAATGCTCGTCTATAAATAAAACTGAGTTGTCATTGCAACATTTTATTCAAAACAACTCTTCATTACAATCTTTTCTCTCTATGTTCAAATTAAAATCCCAAATTACCAGTATTCAAGACCTTTTACTAATTAACATTACAAAACCACCTGCTCATAAATTTGCCACTGCTTTATCATTGCAGAGGTGATCCAGTTGATTCTGCCTGAAGATCAAAGATTAAGCATTACTGCCACTACTGTGGGACAGAGTGCTGTTCTTAGCTGTGCTATTCAGGGAGCATTGAGACCTCCCATCATCTGGAAGAGAAACAATATTATCCTAAATAATTTAGATTTGGAAGACATCAATGTGAGTACATAAAAAGAGAGACTTTATAATGTGTATAATTCATATGATGTACTGCAGCTTTTGTGAAGTCTGGTTTTTGTAAACTTACTGAATATTAGATATGGAGTATCCAAGAATTATATGTCTTGCTGCCTGGGACGTATGTAGATCATTTATAATTATCCAAATTATATATATTGATATGATAAGCAGATTCTGTAGTAATGTACTTTTTCAACTTCCCTAGTAACTCTTAAAGAGTACATATATTGGTTAAAAAATGATAAAAAGTACATATTTAGCTCTATCATGCAAATACTTGTACGCTAATATATCTATATTTAGGTATTATTCCTAATCATGTTAATCAAGTAGTTATTTATAACACTGTGAACTTCATAGTGTTGTAAGGATAAAGTATTATAATTCTGTCTATTAGAAATGTGATAGTAAGAATGTGTATGTCAAAATTCATATATGCTAATATGGAATTAAAATGTTTATATCTATTGAATATTTTTACTTCTTGTTCTGAGAAGATGCTTGTTAGTTCATTAGCCCATTAAGTAATTGAGTTGTTGAATTTTGTAGGATTTATTATTTGTAATTAATTATTTAATTTTAGGTGGTTGTTTTTTTCTGCATATTAGGCCATTCTCTGATGAGTAGTTGGCAAAACTTTTCTCCCATGTGGGTAGTCTCTTAGCTTATTGGTTATACCCTTTGCTGTGCAGAGACTTTTTAGTTTGATGCAGTCCCATTCATCAGTTTTTATTTGATTTGCTGTGCTTCTGGATTTTTTATTCAGAAAGTTTCTACTGTGCTCAACATTCTTAATGTTTTCCCTTCTAATTCTTCTAATTGATACTGTACAACTGAAAAAGAAATTGTAAGATCTGGAAAAAATTATGTTAAGTGAAGTAAGTCACGCCTAGTGAGACAAAGGATGAATGTTTTCTCTTATATGGAGAGGCTAGATTTAGCTTATAAGCCTATAATATGCTGGGTGGTTAAAAAAGTGTTTGTAAAGGTTTACATGAAAATATGTCCCATCATAGTTTAGAATGTTTCTATTCATCAACTTAAAATATATAACACTATATATATCATGTTTAGACATAAAGCTATGAAACAACTGACTGGATCAACTTGAATATTTACATTTATAAAATGGTTATATATTAATATTAATAGAAAAATGTATGAACTTATTATCTGTATGTGTTTCATTGTAGTGTCCTGATATTTATGGAACACATTTTTAGGAGATATGGATGTATCTGGACATGGGAGGATCATTCCTGTATGCTTAATTAGTTAGGATGCTGAGGCCCAAAAGATCACAATTTGCAAACAGTCAAAAATCCCATTTCTGTTGTAATTACCAAAAAAGAGAAACGCAGAGCTGAAGGCATGGTTCAAGTTGTAGAATGCTATGTCAACAAGCAAGCAAAGCTATTGTGAGAGCCTAAGGTCAAGCTTCCATATTCTCAATAAATAAATACAATTTTCTCTTTGTCTCTCTATGTCTATATAGATAGATAGATAGATAGATGTATACTTATACTATATATTTTTATACTACATATGTATGTGTGTATATAAATATATATTCATATATATATATGTTCATACATATATATGCATATGTATATATATAGACAGAAGAGTAAAGAATGGGTTGTAAATTCTGACTATATATACACATATATATGTATATATCTACACATAGAGAGAGGCATGAGAGACAGAGAATAACATGGTTTTCACAGTAAAATTAGAATCTTGAGGTTCTATATTCACTGGGTCAGGAGTGTCTATGACATTTCCAAAGACTGATCTATTGAGTAAAGGTTGGGTCATTTTTAAACAAATGGCTAGAACAAAAATTTAGTTTTTATTGTTTCCCACAACTTTTGGTTAATCATCTCTGGGAATTGTATTTATAAATAAATATCTGTTAGAATTTTTGTAACAAGTATCAAACTCTGCGCAATCCTGTTATGTTAAGCAGCAACTGGATGCATGTGAAAAAGTTTGAATTTAAAGTTAGTTTCAAATCAAGAACAAAGAAAGAAAGAAGTGGTTGAATTTTTCTGAATGAAGGATCATGATCTGTATCAGGTTCAGTTTATGGTATCAGAATCTGAACCAAATTCAGCAGGACATAGCTTCACAAGTGAAATAAAATTAGTACAAACTCTAAGGAGTTCATGTGTGAGCAAATGTTAACAGCTGTCATGATAGGGAACAATTGAAATCTCAGCTGTTTAAGAGATGGAAATAGTAGGATCATAAATTTTAAAACTACCTGGACAAAGGTAATAAAAATGTCTCAAAATATAAACAAAATGCATGGTAGTAATGCTCAATGGAGTAGAGCATTTGTGTAGCATGCATCAATTCCTAGTAAGACACAAACACATCAAATTTTAGCAATCCTAGGAGACCAAAAATTTTGTACTTAAAGGGTATCAGTGGGATTGAGGTGAGGAAATACTTTACCTTATTGATTTTGGTGATTCTTTTTCTTAATTTAATATATATTTTCATTGTAAAGATACTGTACAGAGAGGTTATAGCTACATGAGTAAGGTAATGAGTATTGTTACCCCCTCCTTTATTTTTCCCCTATGATCCCTTTCCTCCCCAACTCCCCAACTCCCCAACTCTGATCTCCCATTCACCCCTCACCCCCACGCCTGAAGTTGTAATTTTCATTTTCAACATAGTATCATCTACACCTTATTGTTACACTGGGTCAGCCTGCATCCCTATTTTTCCTTCCCCTCCCCAAGTTAGAAAACTGTATATACAAGATGCAGGGCACTGGAATCAAATACAGTGAAAACAGGGTTATACTATGGGGGAGGAATATATCAAAGAAACAAAACAAATCACATAGTATATTTATAAATATATTTACAAAAACAGCAAGAAAGAAAAAACACTTATGTTCCTATCTTGGGGTTCATTTTGCTTAACATCATCTTATATGGTCATATGTACATGGCCTTTGACCTTTTCTTATTGTACTAGACATATACTAGTTATTGCAAATAAGGGGAACCATGGGACCTATGTTTCTTTGCACCTGGCTTACTTCATTTCCAAGCCTTTCCATTTCCTAACAAATGGGGCTATATTATTCTTTCTGATGTTGGCATAGAATTTCATTGTATACACACACACATATACATACATACATATATATATATATATATATATATATCACATTTTCTTGATCTATTCATTTACTGAGGGGCATCTGGATTGATTCTATCTTAGTTTTATGGTAAATAATGCTGCAATAAACATAGTTGTGCTGGTAACTTTCATATTTATGGTCATTTGGGTAAATGTCCCGAAATGGGATTACTGGGTCATAGGGGAGCTCTATGTGTAGGTTTTTGAGAACTCCCCATGCTGCTTTCCAGGGTGATTGAACAAGTTCACATTCCCACCAACAGTGTAGTAGCATTCCTTTTCTGCCACATCTCTGCCAACATCTATTATTGTTAGTTTTCTTGATTATAGACATTCTAACTGGGGTGAAGTGGAATCTCAATGCTTTTTTGATTTGCATTTCTTTTATGGCCAGAGAAGTTGAGCGTTTCTTCATGTGTCTATTGGCTATTCTTATTTCATCTTCAGAGAAGTCTCTCTTTAAGTTTTAGCCCACTTATTTATTGGGCAGTTGTTTCTTTAAGATTTGTTTTTGGGGGATTTATTTTTTTAGTTCTAAGTCTATTTTAGATCTGAGGCCATTGTCTATTGTATGGCTAGTGAAGATCTTCTCCCAACCTGAGGGCTTTCTATTGTTCTTACTAGCTACATCCTTTGCCATGTAGAAGCTATGCTGTTTCACCCAATCCCATTTGTCCAAACTTTCTTTGATTTGTTGTGTTTTTGGGTCTATTGAGATAACCATGTGGTTTTTATCCTTGCTCTTGTTGATGTGATAAATTATATTAATTGATTTGCATATATTGAACCAGGTTTGCATCCCTGAAGTGAATCCTGTTTGATTGTGGTGTATGATTTTTGGGATGAATTGTTGAAGTCGATTGGCCAAATTTTTTTAATGTTTTTTTTATTGTGAAAATACCATATAGTGGGGTTACAATTACATGAGCAAGGTAATGAGTATAATTCTTATCAAGCATTGTTGCCCCCTCCTTTGTTTCCCCTTACCATCCCATCTCCCCCACCCAACCATTGGCCAAAATTTTGTTGAGAAGTTTTGCATGGATGTTCATGAAAGAAGTGGATCAAGAGTACTTTTTCTTTGATGAGTCCCTTGATTTTGGTGATTCGTGTCTCTACATGTTTTTAATTCTTTCTATAATTCTTTCTATAATTATTTTCTATAATTTTTCTACCATGTTTTGGGGTTTCATCAATAACACCTGAGTGACCCAAGACACAACTCCAAATTATAATTTTGTATATGTGTTTCTAAAGTTTTGGCTTAATATCTTGTAACATATCATTATCACTGGTGGAAGTCTGGGACACCAGACACATTTAGTTGTTTAACCACAGTTACTGAACTAATAATATTAAATGGCTACCCATTTTCATGGTCTGACTGATTTTACATCGAGTTTAAAACTTCGATGTATAAATGAAATGTTTTACAATTGTCTGCTACTTTTTAAACAATGTATGCCAAATGACCCTTGCTTTTCTATATTGCAAAGATATTTGCTGCCCTTTGCTACTAGATATACAATTAAAGTTCAGCTCATGTCCAAACCTTTGCATTTTTCTAGTATTATTCAGTTTTTGCATCACATGCAAAAAAAAAAACATACCACTGAATTGCAGAAGCCTGTATAACAGTGGATTAAAGGATGGCTTGTAAATTCTGTTTGGATTGCAATTTAAGTTCCATCCAGAGTGTTACTAAAACTCTGTGTGTCTGTGCTTTAGTTCTCTTAAATGAAAAATCAAGGTAATAATAGAATTGATGATCTGAATAATACTTGAGGTAAAACATTATAAGGCTTTTGTAGAAT